AAAAAAAAAAAAAAAGTCAGCAGACTTCCTCACAGTGCTGACTCCCCACTGGTGCTGACTAAGAGGCAAACCGGAGGATACCTGCATGGGTCTCCCCAGTTCGCCGTCGAACGACACACAAATGTTTGATCCAGCTGGGGTAATAGCTGACAAAAAAAAGGACGTCACAAAAAAAAAGCCAAGGCCAAAAGCATTATAGGCGTGGAACAAAAAGGTATACAAAATTAAAAGCAAAGAAAGGTACACACGTCATATACACGTCACGCCGATGGGGTGTACTCAGTAGCGACACAAAAACAAGTGTAAACCCCTCCCCCCCTTCTGCGATTATTTTCCTTTTCTCTCCACTCCCGATAACCCCGAAAAGGGGACGTGCGGCTGGACCCCACTGGGAAGTAGGCCATATACGCACACATTTTCGCAACACATACATAGAAAAAAAAAAACAAATTGAACAAAACACACATGCAGGGGGTGAGGTGGGGAAAAATATGAATCCACGCAATGTGTACAGCGTGTGATTTTTCACCCCAATGAAACGTCAACTGGAATGTAAAAAAAAAAAAAAAAAAAAAAAAAAAAAAAAAGTGTAACGTCGCCAACAGTTTCTACTCAAATGCAACTCCCCCAAAAGGGGGGGGGCACAGGAAGTATCCTCCTGCACAAAAAAAAACGTACACACACAACAACACCTCTGCTCGACTAACACAAGGAACGAGGCAAAATGTATTCTTTCCTTTTTCTACTCAAATGTGTGGTGCCATGTGTCACGCAATCAGCTTATTGGTGATGCGCCATCAAGAGAGGTAACCACAACAACGCATTCAGTCAACACTGGCGCATGTGCCACAAGAGAACTGCGCAAAAAAAAAACAAAAAAAAAAAAAAAAAAAAAAAAAAAAACAATCGAACAAGGCGGAACAAACCTTATATGTGCGGTGAACGAGAGTTTTTTTTTTTTTTTTTTTTTTTTCTTGTGACCCTTTGGCGATGAGCTGAGTCCACATCGATGCACACGTGGTATGCCACTTTAAGAGGTTAAAACGGAGAGAGCTGTTCAGTCTGCTCACACGACCAACAAGGGGATCACACAAAATGGTCAGTCTTCAGGAGAACGAAGAAAAGCCTCTCCTACCATGGTGTATACAAAACAACACAAGGCCTCATAAAAGCGTTTCATTATATAAGTGGTCTCTCCTATGTTCTTCGCTATGCAAACGTGGATTTCCCGTTTGCCCACATCAGCAAAATATCACCACTTGGTCGATCGTTGCCCCCCTTTTTTGCATGTTCGCTTGTTGACGTCGCACATGTAATCTTCTGCCTTTCTCTTCAGAGCAAGAGGGCTCCTCCTCTCTCCGCCCTAAAAGCACACCTACACAAAAAAAAAAAAAAAAAAAAAAAAAAAAATTGTACCAAAAAGAAGCACGGCATAGTATAAAAAATAACATGTTAGGATAATTCATTTTTGTTGCCTACACTCGCTGCATCCTGTGAATGTACCCCCCTAACGACGCCAACTCCACACCTGCGCGCGTGCATAAAAAAATGTAGAAGCAACTAATGACATTTTTTTTTTTTTTTTGCTTTCCATGATACGATGGTTCCTTCACTCATCCGTCCTGCTTGCTCTCCAATTCTTTTTTGCAATTCATTTTTGATCCTCATGTGAGGAAGCCACATATATGTATATTTTTTTTTTTTTTGCCTAGATACCATAAAACAGCGCTTTCCTATATCTTCCCCTTGTTCACGACCCAAAGTTATCCTCCCGTGCCAGTGGCCGGCCATCATGCACAAACTGCGCAGCCATAGGGGCATACATACAGAGTAGCGCAACGGCATATATACAGAGTACCGTAACTGCAGCAGAGGGATAACCACTTCACTATATTAAGCAGCTCCCCACCACCATGGCGTACCACCTGGGGTCCCCCTTCCCCAACTTCACCGCGCCCGCGTCGGGCGTGGAGGGCCCCTTCAACCTGTACGAGTACGTGGGGGACATGTGGTGCATCCTCTTCAGCCACCCAAATGACTTCACACCCGTGTGCACCACAGAGCTCGCTGAGTTCGGGCGCATGTATGAAGACTTCCTCAAAGCAAATTGTAAATTAGTTGGGTTCAGTTGTAACTCAAAAGAATCTCATGAGCAGTGGATTGAAGACATTAAGCACTATGCAAAATTAACCCAATGGAAAATACCCATTGTTTGTGATGAGTCCAGGGAGCTAGCCAATAAATTAAAAATAATGGACGAGAAGGAAAAGGACATAAAGGGATTACCACTCACATGCAGATGCGTTTTTTTTATTTCTCCTGAAAAAGTAGTTAAGGCAACTGTATTATATCCTGCCACCACTGGAAGGAATGCTAATGAAATTTTACGTGTCCTGAAGTCGCTCCAGTTGACCAGTGAACAGCCTGTGGCAACCCCCGTCAATTGGGCAGTGGGGGACAAGTGCTGTGTCTTGCCCACCGTGGGGGATGCAGACTTGCCTGCTCTCTTCCCCAAGGGGGTTCAGAAGGTACAACTCCCCTCGGACAAACCCTACCTGAGGTTCACCTCGCTGTGAGATGCATCACGCGGGTTTTCACTCCGGTGTATTTATCGCGACTTCATGCGCCGCTCACGTCACAACACCGAATAACTTTTCATAACTGAATTGTTAAAAACAGAGACACACCTGCCACAGGTGAAAAGTTTCTTCCCCACCGGAAGGGAAAAAAAAAAATATATGTTTTTTTACCCCCTTTTTAATGGGGACGGGAGGTCAAACAGGAGAAACAAAATGTATGTTACAAAAAAGGGTTGTCACGGTACAAATGGAAATGTGCAACGTGTTTTTACCCATGCTGGGTAGATGCTGGGTAGAAGCGGCGTATATACAGCGTACATGCAGCGTACATGCAGCGTACATGCAGCGTACATGCAGCGTACACGGAACGCTACTCCCGCTGCACGCAGAGGTAACGCAGCACGTGGGTGTTGTCGCCGTACAGGTGTTGCAGCCCATTGTACACCGAGAACAGCTGCTTCAATATGAGCAGCAACGCGTTTCTATAATCCTCCACCGCATGGGGAGAAGCCGTTCTGGCCCCGCCGCCCTGCTTCTGCTGCTGCGACTTAGTGCTTGCGCCGCGAGACAACGGACCCCCCAAATCTGTATTCACGAACACGCTAAAGTGACTCGTAAAAATGGCATTCAAATAACAAAGGTGCAGGTGAATATGCTTCATCGTATCGTTCAGGAGTAGCACCTTAATAAAATTAATAAGTAAAAAGACAAATGGCTTGGTCAAAATTTTCACACACAAAGGTACCACGTGGTATGGGGTCTTCTCATACACCTCCACCATGTGTTCGTAGCTATTTAGAGCAAGACACAGGAGGAAAGCCTTTCCATATTCATTTCTCCTCATCGCCTGCTTCAAATTTTTCACATTCACATGCTCTGTTAAGTATTGTGGTTGGTAAAGTAACGGGGCCACGAGTCCACGGTAGTTAACATTTCCCCCACAAGTCATCTCCTTTCCATGGCCTCGTCTCAAGCACCAACGAACCGGAACGACGTATTGAAACTGGTGGTCCTTGGTAAAAACGTAGAGTCCTCCACTAGAAGCGACAGCCACATGTCTGTCATCACCAGAAATGCTCAACTGATGCAACGTCATCTTGTGCTTCTTAAATTTATTAACCACCCAATGCTCCTCTAAACTTCCAGGTAGCATATTGTTCTTCTTCTTCCTATTAACGACCCTGTACTGGTCATTGTACACATCTCCCTCCTCATCACTGAGGTCCATTTCTAGAATGCTGGTGCCGTTAGCAGTTAGGTACCTCCTCGAAATCTCCCTCCTGATCCCGTCCACACAAAAGTTTGAAGTCAAATCAATTATCTGTATAAGCACATATAAATTCGTATCATATATGTACAACGACACACTACAATTGGCACAACCAATTATATAATTTCCATTTTGTATATAATCGACACAAGTAAAATAGCAGTTCTGATTTACCACTGAGTTCATCCCTTCATCCTCCAAGTCATCCTCATAAACAGAATCATCGTCTTGTCCATTCCCTGCATGGCTCCCACTCATTATCTTCTTCCTCTTCTTCCTCTTCTTCACGCTAGGAAGAGAAGAATATTCTTGCCCAATGAACTGTCCCCTCTTAATATCCCTCGCTCCTTCCACGGTACCAATTATTTCCTGGGAGCTCACTTCAAAAAATATAATTTTGCAATTCATAGTACATACAGCTAGTATGTCATTTCCTCTTGGGTCAAAACACATAAAGGAAACATCGTGAGAATTTATCATCTCCTCGAACTTGCTTCCTTTGTTTCTTCGTGCATATAAATCCCACAGCAACACCTTCTTGCTCCAAGAGCAACTAGCTATTATGCCTTCATTTTTTAAACTCGTGCTGAAGCAAACTCTAATAATTGGGGAGTCGTGTCCGTACAGCTGGTCGATACATTTACCCGTTTGCACATTCCATATGTACACAATGTACTGGGCCCCTCGACCCCCTGCAGCAACGATGTTGCCACTTAAATTCACACTCACACAGAGAAACTGCACCTGTTGCTTAGCCGAGCCTCCGCGTGAAGCACTACCAACATCCTCATCCAATTCACACGCTGTGTACACCTTAAAGTTGCGATACCTCAACAGGTCAAATGCCCGCACTGTGCCATCCAGTGAACATGACACGAACGCATTCCCCTGGGGAAGGAAACACACATCTGTCACTGCATCCGTGTGAACAGAAAAAGTAACAAAGTTCATATAACTCACATAATCGTATAACCGAACACTTCCATCCTCACAACCTGTGACGATAACAAATTTGCTTGTGAAATTTTCACTCTCGTGATAAGCATTTGCTGTGTCTACAATGTGACTTCCTATCTTCAGGTGACTAATAATCGGTGAGAACTTCACACACTTGACATTCCTGCTCGTGGTACTCTGTTTCAAGATATAACTTTCACTCTTCCACTCCCACACTATCACCGTACCGTTGTTCGCTTCCGCCAGGGCTATCCATTGCCCATCACTGCTAATCGTGACATCGTCAATGGTGCAGGCGTTTATGCTTATCGTGTAGAGGGAGGTCATTTCCGGGGCACTATATATGCCGAAGCGCCCGCTGGAGTAGGCGATCACCACCAGGCAGTGCTCCCGGTTGAAACATACACTCGTCACCTCTTCGTTCTTCTCCTGGTTGCAGAAGTAGACCTTCTTCTGCCGCCACCTCCGCGCGAACGCCTTGGTGGTGGGCACCGACAAGTTGGACACAGCTTCCTCTGTCGCGTCGCCCGTCGCGTCGTCCGTCGCGTCGTCCGTCGCGGCATCTACCACTTCGTTCACCGCTTCTTCCACCGCTTCTTCCACCGCTTCTGCCACCGCTTCACCCACCCCTTCCTCGTACGACCAGACCAAAATGAGGCCCGACTTGTTCACACTAAAGATGAAATCCCCCCCCTTGGAAAAAAACGCCGCCACCACGGTGCTCTTGTTGCCACCCAACACAGTGGGGCGCACCTTCCGCCTCTTCTCCACAGTGTGAACCCTAATGGTTAAGTCATACGAGCACGTTAAAAAAAAACGGTCATCCTCCGACACGTCAATCCATGTTACATTCAAAGAGTGGTAGCAAATGTCATTGTATTTAACCAGTCTGTAATTATTTTTCCTAGTGGGACTCTTCCATATGACGACCCTCCTCCCAATGCCTAGCAGAAAGTACTCCCCTTTATGTGTGAACAGTGCGCAATTGACGGAGTCCTGTTCTTCTTGAGGAGAAAATATATTCTCGTAGTTAAAGGAAGTTACAATCCCTGTCTTGGATTTGAACAGAATCCGAGATATAATCTGATCCTTCAACAAATTTATAATGCACCCATACTCAAATTTATCAATCGTTATGGCTATTTCCATGTCGGGATGAATTACAATGTGCCTCAAGTCATTTTTACTTTCCGACCTCAGCGTGTTGCACTTATTATTGTTCATATCGTATACATTGATTCGGTTATTCACTGGCACGAACAGAGAGTTGCCATCGCCGCTGAAACGGATTTTCCCCCCGGTGTACACGCACCCGCAAATGTTGCTCAGGCTGTAGTTCAGCATTGGGGTCTCTCTACGGGTGGGGTGCGAAGTGGGACGAAAGTAATACAATGGGTGGTAGCTTCACGCCACCCCTCTCCTTCCAACAGGTTCAAATGAGACACGTTACAGCCTCTTCCCTCGATCAAATGAAAAAGATAAATGTCACGCTTGGAGGGGACAAGCTATAAACGCATAACGGCGCGGTATACGACAAAGGCTGCATATTTCAACGAGCCACAGCCAGACGAGAACACCGTTTTCCCTGTCAAACAGAAACTAAGCTGCAATCAACTGTGAACGACGCTCAATCTGTGGAGACTGTCGAACTGTTCTTTTGAAACAAAAAAAAAAAAAAAAAAAAAAAAAAAAAAAAAGGACGTGAAGCTGCCTTTTCAGCTTGTTAAGCGAATAGGCCGCAACATAAAAACACCAACTCTTCACGTACGAACAAACATACAAACAAACAACTGCGTCCTTAACGCTCGAAAAAATTGAAGCATTCTATATTTTCGCTTCTGCAAAGCAGCAACAAGAGGTTCGTTCTTGCGTCGCTCACATGGGGACAAGTTGCGCCGCGTTTTCCTCAGGGATGGGAATTGGCCTTTGTTGTCAATGCGATGCCGCTACTTTATTATAATACGTTGCCCATGCTTTTGCATATATTTTTTTTTTTTTTTTTTTTTTTTCTCGTGCCGACCGAGCCTGATGCCCCCGAAATTTCCCCCACAAATGTTATATAATACTGCAGTGCGGAAAAAAAAAAAAAATACGCCATCCGGGGAAGCACCAAAAAAGGGTTCATTGGGGCAGGCCTTGCATTTACGCTTCCTTTTTCCGCGCCTCTCTTCTGACCCCTGTTTGCCTTTTTTATTTTCCCCTTTTTTTCCCTTTTTTTACATTCTGCCCAGGCACAAGGCCAAACACTCTGTTCAGCGAGGCAACATATTTTTGCCTACAGGCCCAGACCCGACTTCCGACAATTTTTTGCATGCCCAACCTTTAACTGACACGCCTTGAAAAAAGGGAGACGACGTCATTTTTTTTGTATTTGACCAGTGACACATGAGATGGTCACCCCCCAGCGGCACCTTCAACAGTTGCAACACCTGCAGAGTCGCTCCACTTTCATTTCATTATTTTGTTTTTTCCCCGCTCCATGTATTGTTGTTATCTTTATATTTGCCACATTGTGCCTGACACATGTGCACGACACTTAACTAGCCACAACTGAATGGGAGCATTCAAAGCAACATCAGTGCTAGCATTTGTCATCGTTAACAAACGGACGCTGAACAAGGCGATCCATTTGTCCCCCCACTCATACCCCTTGGCACAATGCATGCCCAGCCGGGTAGGCACACAGTCGTCTTCTCAATTTCACCCACGTCCGCTAAACAAAAAAGTGATCAGCAAAAGGGGGAGGGGGAAAAAAAAAAGCCTCGTACATTATAAGATCGCCTCCATTTTTGCCTGAACAGGTCAGAACTTTGTGCATGTCAATTTTGTACGTCCCCTTATGCTTCACTGCGGTGAAACGCGGAGGAATCGCAACGAAACGAAGTACATGCGCTTTTCCCCGTGTCGCCCAGCGCACATCCAGAACGTTTCCCCCAATTCAATCATTTCCAAAGTGAGACTCGTACCACGTGATGTCTTTTTTGTGTTCGTTGTGCAACGGAGAAGAGGCTAAACAGGGAAAAAAACACCTGAACAGCTAGCCAAAAAAATAAAATAATAAAACAATAAACTTGCAAATTTTCTGAGCTAAAGGGACTCACCAGAACAACGGCGGAACAACCAGGAGAAAACCTCACTCCGTACATGACGAAGAAGGCGCCACGTTAAAAAAAAAGACAAAAGGACAAGAAGCCCATTTGACATAAGAAAAGACATAAAACGCAAACCCACAAAGACGACCAACTGCACACCATACACAAAACCCCAGGAGTTGCAAAAACATGAAAATTATAGAACCGAGCAACTGCAATGTAAGTACCATCAATCATTTGCCAAATGGCAGGACTACGTTAGAGCCAGTGAAAGAGCAGGAATCATCCGATAGGAAAGGGGAACAACACGTTGCGAGGAGGAAATCTCTGCATGTAAAGGTCAGTCGTGCACAAAGCGAGGGAGAAACCGAAACACTCCCCCATTCTGCGCCCCCCGAACGGAACACCCACACCGATGAAGAAAATGAAAAAGATAAAAATAAGCCCCTTACTGAAGAGGGTAGAATCAAACGTATAGACAACGTACCAGGGGATGAGTCCATCCCCGTACCCCATTTGAAAAAAATATACACGTTAACAGAAGGGGGTGATTCTACTGTACAGCATTCTGGAGGCCTTACTGAACTGGAGGAAGACAGTTTCGTAGGGGACCTCTCCAGTGAAAACTCCAGTGCCCTATGCGATAAGGCAAGAACAACCAATTGTAGCTTTGGTGAAGATAAGTTAAGTACCCAACAGACACCCCCCATGGGAGATGCCAACAAGGGTCATGTTGATACTGAAAAACGCCAACCAGAAGACTACCACCCAAGGAGGGACACCCCAAGAGACGGTTACAATAATGGAGACGGCGAGGAAGGTGATAAACGTGCATCCATCCCCACAGATGAAGCTACACCCAAAAACGAAATTGAACAATTAAAAGAAGAAATAAAAAAGGAAGTCTACAACAGATTAACCATCGCACTAGATATCAATATGAATTTAAATGAAAATGAAAAGTACTATGACCTTTTTAAAAAAAAAAAAAAATTTCAAAAATATATTATGAATAGCTGCAAATTTGTAATAATCCTTGGGAAGCACCTGAAGCTCTCCTTCTCTACCATTTCAATCGCCCTGTATTACCTCCATAAGTACTACGAAAAAATTCTGAAGAGGAAGAAGAATGCGTTGCCTTACTTGATTGGGGGTGCTTGTATATTCTTAGCATGGAAAATGAGAGAGGACATGGAAAATCTGAAGAGGTCTAAAAAGCTCTACGACATACCCAAGATGATTTTTAAGTTACTTAATTATTTTGACAAGAAAAAAAAAATTAAAAAAAAAATGAAGGAGCTACAGGTGCGCATGTTCTTGAGTGGGTGCGCTGACCGGAAGTGGGAGGACCTGTCAGATGAACACACTGTTCCGTCGACGGCAGGGAATGCGGCAAAGGGTGAAGGGGATGCCCGTCCTCCGGGAGAGGAATCCCAAAGGGATAATCCCCCCCAAAAAGGGAAAAAAAAGCGAAAGCTCTCCCCCAAAGAGGACGAGAAGAGATCCTCTACGGAATCGACCGACAGGAGTAGCCTACACCGAGACCTGGCCCAAATAAAGCGCATAATCAACACGGGCTACGTGTCTGATGTGAATAACATAAGCCACGCTAGCGACTGCTTCAATTCGTACCTCTCCGAGTGCAACAGCAGGGACGTCTCCGAGTATGAGTTTGAAGGGGAGGAGGGCGACCTACATGACGACATACGCGACGGCCTACATGACGGTCCACATGACTACGCACGTGAGGACGCGCGTGAGGACCCGGAGGAGCCCCCCGCCCAAACGTACCTGACCCAGTTCCAACACCTGTGCAAGCGCGAAAAGCGAAAAATTCACATATCGGCCTCCAAGTGGGTTCTAAACAATTCAGGACAAAAACTGCAACTCATGCAAAAGGTAATAATTTACTACGAAGGAGAAATACTCAAAAGCATTAACTACTTTTTAAAGCCAGATAAATGTTCCTTCCACCTACTACCATCCTTCGTTGGGGCCTTCGTGAATATAATGAATGGTTACGTATCGCAGGACGAGGTAGGCAGTCTGCAAAAAATCGCCTCCCTGAGCATCCTCGATTATTTCAAAACCCCCCTCTGCTTGGTTTTCACTTCGAACGAGATCATGGTGGCTTCCATCCTGCGTGCGTACATTTCGTTGAAGTGGATCTGCGGCCAGCTCGACGTGCAGACTATGTCCCTCCAGGGTAAGTAGGGCGGGACGCCCAGTTGGCCCAGTCGGCCCACCTAGCGCTTTTACACTACGTTTGTACCTCTTTAACATTTCACCGCTACATTTACACTTTCCCCCGTCCATGATGTTGCCCCCACTTGTAGATTTTGAGAAAAAGGCGACCCGCTTCACGCAGTATGTGAGCTCGAAGAACCCCATCAGGTGGGTTACTCCCCCCCGTAAACGGAAAAGCTCCCGTCCAGGGGCACACACTTTCCTGCCGCTACCGTGCGAATGCGTGCAAGTGACCAATGTGTATCACTTCATTTTTGTGTCACCTAATCATATTTGTCTTTTCCTTCCACCCCCTTTTCTGCGACAGCATAACCCGGGTGAAGATAGCGTTGAGGGAAATCAGGCTGTTCGGAGAATGATGCGCGCGCGATGGATGAGTTATTTAGAGGGTGGGTGGGTTCTCTACTTCCCCCACCCCCACAGCACATACCCCTCGACAACATGCCAGCGGAAAAATGTAATGAAAAAAAAAAGCTAAGGGCGGAAAATTTCACGTTCCATCGGGTTGCAGTACTGCCGATAGTCCACCTGACCCTCGAGTCGATGACGCAAAACGTTGACGTTGGGTGCCATTTGCGCGGAGGTCCATGTAGTCGTGAAATGGTTCTTCTTGCCCTCGAGCTTTTTGAAGTAGGAGGAATTTTCCACAAAGCATTGGTAAGTCTGATTGGACGTTAGAGTATTGCCCAACTCAATCTGGTGAAGAAAGAATTTGTTTACCTCCCTGTCTCGTCTCCTCAAATCTATCATGTCGTTGAAATAAGTTTTTGTGAAATGCTTAAAGGAGAGGTACTCCTGGCACAAATGTGCATGATGCTTGCCGACTTCATTTTTTATTTTCCGATCGACCTGCCAAATTTTTTTTTTTTTTTTTTTTAAATTATGTTCAAATGTATCATACTCGTCTAGCAGGAACCTTTGTTCGGACTTTTTCACTTTGCTCTTTTCGTCACTGCAGCTTGGCGCGTTGGGGTTGTGGAGGCTTTCTACGTGGAGTTCCTTGTACTGGTCGTTTTTGTACACGTAGTGCATGTACAGGTCGGAGAGGAAGTGTTGGAGGGAGCGCGCCCGGGTCGCTTGCCTGAGCAGCAGCTGCATGTTCTGCGCGGGCACGCTCGTCTGCATTACCCCAAGCGATGCAGGCAGCCCCATCGCCACCCGCAACGCATCCATGACGACCTCCTTCACGACCGACATCGAAGCAGACCTCCCCGCGTTCTCCCCCGTGGCATCTCCCCCACGACAACTACTATATATAAAAAAAAAAAACTTAACCATGTTGGCATTGAAATATATTGGGCAGTACCCCCGCGGCGTCTTTTTGATCTGGTGTTCCAGCTGTTCCAGCTGCTCCAACTGTTGCGTCTGCTCCGTCGTTTGCATCCGCCCCGTTGCAGGCCCCTCGCTGCACCTCCTTTTGGCCCTCTCATACGCTCTCGAGTAATAGGCACAGGAGCCCTGCCCCTTAACCACCCCGTTCCTCATTTGCTCAAATATCTTTGTCTTGAGCATGAATTTGCAGCGTGTCTTGCCCTCCTCGTGTACTACAACAGAATCATTCACATGGCTACCACAAGAACGTTTGAAAATGTTCGTCACTGATCCTTTTTTACATATGTGTCTTGTTCTGAAGGAAGGACGTTTCTTCTTGTCCCCTCTGCTCCCAATAAGGGAACGCCCACTCATCAACATGTAGTGATAAGGCGCGCTGTTCAAGCTGGTATAATGCAAGTAGGGCTCCAAGGCAAAGGATACCTTCTTGTAACTACCATACTGGTGAATGATCTCCTGCACGTCTTTCTCGAATGTGTAAAAATTAACCAGGGGAGGGGAACCCCTATACACTCGTTGGTTGCACTGACCCACGGTATTATTCGCCCTCTCCTCTGCGCGCTTCTCCCCCCCCAGTGACGCACACACGAAGTTCACATGACTCATATATACCATGCGCACGCTGTACCTCTTACAAAAACAATAGTACAAAAGAAAAAACACATCAAAAAAGGTCCTTAAGTAAGTGAGATAATTATAAGTAGCTATTATTCTCCACACGCGGTACCTAAATATATTCTTATTTTTAAAGTAGAAGCAGAAATCGTGTTTGTATGTGTCGTATAATTTGTGTATGTGAGCTATTAGGTTTAGGGACTTCTCGAATGGGGACAGCACGTCTGCCTCAGATTTGATGGACCGCCTGCCCACATAACTTGCTCCACCGCAACTCTTCAACAACAACGCCGCTGCAGTGGAAGACGCACATGTCACTTGTGCATTTGTCCCCACTTCAGACGATCCTCGCACTGCTACCTCCACCACCTGCGCGAACCGCCCCTCCCAGTTGTGCACGTTATACAAATTTTTAAACACATTTGTGTCGCTGAAGCAGCGGTAGAACTTCAGGTTGCGCAGCATGTTGGGCACGACCTTGTTTCCCCTCCCTTGGGCATGCTTCGTAGCAGTTCGTCTAGCAGTTCTACGCTTGGACCGCTTGTCAGATCGCTTGCCAGACCGCCCCTTAGCCGGCCCCCTGCGGAGGCTCCCACCCAGCAGCGACTCCGCCTTGGCGCAAAAGCGCTCCAACGGGAGGACCCACCAGAAGGGGGCGTCGCGCCCAGAGCCCGAGGGTCGGAAGAACGTGCGCCCGTGCACGTACGTGTCGAGGTCGTGCGCGTGCCGCATGTCCTGCAGCTTGTCGTCTGCCACCCCCAAAAACAGATTAATGGACTTTTGCTTCTCCAGGTCGTTGAAGGAGCTAATGTAGTACCGCTTAATGGAAGTCAGTAGCTCCTTAGATTGAACAAAAAAATTGTTACTCTGCCCAGGTGTATACTTCTTGTGTGCTGTAGAACCCGCATACTGATTCGCTATGGCGTCCCCCAGCTCTTCATACATCTGCGATAAATATCCCACGTGGTTAACACATAGAACCTTCTTCTTCACGCGAGTAATCAACTCCAAAAAATGTACCAGCATGTACATCTTCAGGAATAATTGAGCAGCGTTCGTCCGATCAAGACAGTCCACACAATTGAATCGCAGGATACCTCGTTGGAAGAGGACCACCTGCCCATTGCGGAGGTAGAAGTATCCCACATTGCGTTGCGAAAAATTAAAAATAATTTTCAATTTTTGTAGAGTGTATTTTGTTCCAATTTTGTATGCCTTCCTCAAGTCGAGGTGTTTGTAAATGATTCTAATCGGAGGAGGCATGTCCTTGTTGATCACACCAATACAAGCTTCGTACTCATTAGATAAATTATTTTCATCACTGTGTTTATTTTTGCTCAACAGGTTAATAGCGATAATAGGGTACCCATATCGTGCGAACAGATGATTGAAGTGTTTTTTCGTGCAGGTAAAAAGGACGTCATTTTTTATGCATTTAATTTTGGGTCTCTTCAGCAAATGATAATTAATACCCTGACTCCAGAACACAGGAACAGATCCTCTCAGTTGTACATAAGAAAGAATAGCAGTTTCATAATCTCGTTGAAATAAAATGAGTTCTGTTTCCACTTGGTTAGCTGAGTAACCCTTTGCATTTATACCTCTCTTTCGGTACCTCGTCCCAGCGTACTTGTGACACCTCCTGGCGATAAAAGTCACATCTATCACTTTCCCCTCGCAACAAAATTTAGACTGAACAAAGAACCCACTTATCGCTGGTACACATATGAATACATTTTGCCGCATAAATGACTTACTATGGTAACGATTCCACAGGTACTCATTTTTGTAGTCCTTACAATGGATGTTCACTCCTCTGAGGAATTCTTTTTGTAGGTAATAATTCTCTTGTACACAGCAGGGTAAGTTATATGTGTAGGAGAAATATATGTATTTGTGATTAACACTGTTGTAGAAGATTTGCACCAATTCATTTTCATCATTGAAGTTTTCAAATACATCATCCCGGAACGGAATCAACAGGACCGACTTAACGACATACACTTTGTGCTCATTGAATAGGACAGCTACTTTCTCCTTCTTCGTTATTACGTACAGGTAAGGGTAACTTAGGAACCGGATGCATCCCAGTAACCCTTCACACTTGCATACATACTCTAACCCATTTTTCCCCACGAAGTTGCGGTAAGAGGACTTTGTGTGTAGTTGGAAGTTGCGCTTCACATGAATCTCTCTGCTTCGCGCCACTTCTGTTATTTCGTACGCCTCCTGCTTTTTGTTCAACCCGATAATGAACAGCGACTCCCTGCTCCCGTACACCTTCACCTTCCGCAGGGCTACCAGACTCCCCGCCTGCATCTCGCCAAGGGGTTACAAGAACGTTCTGCGTGCGCCCCTCCCGCCAGCAGCATTCTTTCACCCCTTTGCGCTTGTTTGAGCTTACTTTCTGGGCTTGCTTCTTACTGCTGCTTGCTGCTTCCTCCTGGCTGTTTGCTTTTTTTTTTTTTTTTTTTTTTTTCTCATCATTTTCTTCCTTTCCTTTCCCCGCTACGCCCAATAGCGCACCCGCCGGTTCACCTGGGGCCGTCCACCAACAGAACACTTGTTCATAAAACAACTCAGAAGTTGCCGCCCCCCCCCCGCCATACACCACCACGTGGGAAGAATTACGTGACGTGTACCCCTTTTCTGGCCCGACTTTCTTCCCTCTTAGAGGAAATTCCCTTTTCGTGGGTTCTCCCATCCTGCACAGTCACGCGCGC